TTTAAGCCCAAGACCAACTCCCCGTTCTGGTATGGTTGAGTGTCAGGGTTAAGACATACTCATTCGTGGAATGAAACCAGTTGCCTGTTGATGCGTGAACTACTTGTGTACTCTATCTATTGACCTATTGCAGGCTATGGCATCATCGGTCGGCTCGACTTGATTTTTACCCTTCAGAGGTGGCGGAAACGGAAAGAAGGAATGCAGCGCTTCTTGAAACCATGATCTGGGTAGCAGCAATCATTTTAGTCGACTTTTATACGAACTGTTACCGCTATATACATTCGGATAGAAGACCTATCCTCTACTTGAGGAGATAATACATTGAATGTTGTGATGTGCTTAGACTGAAATCAACACCAAGTAGAGTACCGCACAAAATCACCCTCCGATGACCTTGACTTTGTTTTAACAAACAAAAATAGGTGTCAGTAGAGGGACCTTTCTATTTGACGCAGAATGCATGCCTTGCGGATGGCTTCCCACTCATCGAGCAGTATTTTGTTAAACACGGTGGTATACTTAACTATACATTTTACATGTAGTTAGAAGGTAACAGTGCTTCCTGGTAAATGGATGTTCAAAATGCACGTGGTCGTAGCATTATATTTGTGGTTGCCGCTGCTGTGAAGGATCTCATCCGGCATGTCAGCCGTGAACCCACGACTGGGACGCAAGGTGACGCCAATGGCCGCCGAACTAGTGATGATATTGTCTTCCTCATTCTTTTGTACTAAAGATTATTTCTATTCAAAAGAAAACTTAGACTACTTTATCTTATTATTTACTCGCATTTGCACAGACTCCGATTGCCAGTATACTGTACATCTTTGGTGCGGCTAAACACGTCGGCGTACCATTTTCCATGACCTTGGCAATATCGGCTGAAATGCGACCGTAGGGTGTGGTACGCAACCTTAGGTGTTATGCTTTCAAACCTGAACTTCAGTGCCTGTCTGGTCGTGCGTTCTGCATCTTCGAGAAGAAAGGTGTGCTCATCACTCGCGCATTGTTCGGACGCCTAAAAGAACCATTCACACTCTCCCATGCTTGTATATTTTTCATTCCCGCATGTGCGTAATCGTCTAGAGACAGAGACAGACAGACAGGCAAAAAGACATACGAATAACAGTTCAGTTGGTCGCCCACCTTAGATACCACTGGCCCCTATTCCTATGGTTACTTTTAGTTTTATTAGCTTAAGTTAAGTTTTTAGTTTATTATTTATTAGTTTAATTTCAGGTATAGTTTAGGTTTTTGTTTAGTTAGATACCGCCAAACTGACTACTTCAAACTCAACTAAGCGTAACTAAACAAAACTAACTGAAATAAAAACTAAACCAAACTAAAACTACAATTAAGTTAGAAAACTAAATAATAAACTAAAAACTAAACAAAAATAATACCATCGGTACCGTAAGACAGAATGCCGGGCTAGAGTATCTAAGATGGGCGATTAACGTAACTGTTACCGAAATACGCTTTACTTCAAAAGTGCTTTTCCAAATTTTTCCTCCATGCACTGTGACAAAAATTAGGCCCACAAACCACATAACATCCGAAGAGCATAAACGATACATCATGGCCAAAAACTGCATCTGCCCACACAATGAAGAATCGTTAGTTAATGTGTCAGAAACTTTGGGCCGAATATGACTTCTTTCAAATAATTGTAAGTGTCGTGTACATATGTCCTCGTTATTGGAATTTAAATATACAACGAGAGGTAATTGCAATAGGTCAACCGCTGTACACCTCTGAATGGAGATCAGAAAAAGATGACGACTCAATTTCAAAGACCCTCCTCGCAGCGTTTGCGCATCAATACCTATCGTGACATTTCATCTCATGACACGGATTTTTCAATTTTATGAGTTTTCGCCGGACTGTTGCTTGAAGATAAAACACGGTAACCGTAAATGGCCACGCAAATCCTACGAGTGGCGCACCAGGTCCGTTTCACTCAGCACAACCGACGGGACCGCCGAGGTCAGTACAGGCAGTATGCGAACGCCGGTGACAGTACCTAATAAGTGGCAATTAGCACCAGTGCCCAAGCTGCTCACAGTTGCGCTGCAGCGATGGACAGCCACCAGCACCCCGCGTCCTATGTCGCTGTCATACCAAGAGCAGGTGCTGCGGTGATATCCTCCCCACTACAGTTGCATTATAATGATATATCGCAGGGTGTTAGGTGAGTTAAACCCTGGCAACGGCGATTTTCAGGCCGTGTTCCAAAGGAGCAGACATGGGAAGCCAGAGTGGTAGGAACAGTGTATTCTGTACAGAGGAAGTTGAAGAATAGGCAAGCGAAAGTTGGCTGTCAGACGAGAGCACAACCGTAAACCAGCGGACAGCGTCTGAAGAGACGAGAACGTAGGGGGTTGCCGGAAACCCAGCACATGCTTTGTTTCTGCAACCAATCAGGAAATGGTGCACTCTGCTTCAGTCGATTTCGCGCAGTAGTGGTTGGACCTTGAGGCGGACAGAGTAAGCGTGCGTTAGCGGCAGTATGCGTTCGCAGTGGCTGTCCAAAAAGTTGGTAGAGGCTTGCAATCACATGAGGGCCCGCACGGACTTGGGCCACTACAGATCTATCAAC